CCTTAAGATATGAATAGGGTATAGACCTGTGACCTGGCCCAGTAACTAAGTATTTATCATTACAAAAAACTGGCCAGGCTCCCCAGGCAATCCAATCAAGTGACCATTAAACAGGTAACCTGGCAGACAGGAGGTAAACAAAGCACTCAGATTTCAGCCCTTCTGTGATGCAGGTATGATGTATCTACAGGGTGGCAATTTCAAAAGTCTATATAAGGCCTTGCGCGCCATTGTTCTGGGTTCTTCCTTTCCTACGTGTGAGGGGAGCACCCTGTTGCAACAGCTTTAATAAAGATCAGGCTTACTAGCTGCTTTGCTTCTCAGTATTCTCTGGTTGGCCTCTGTTATTCTCTCCTACCAACAGGGAACCTATGTAAGGACTCTATATGGGCACTTGGATACCCCATAAGGGAAAAGGGGCAGATTTTGTTTACAACATATGAGAGCCATCTTCAAATATCTCAAGGGCTGCCCCATGGAAGATGGAGCAAGCTTGTTTTCTGCTGCTCCAGAGGGCAGGACCTGAAGCAATTTCACAAATACCAAAACCTGTGTACGGTCTCATTACCTGCGTGTAACGAAGGAACAGGTTCAACAGACAATTCAGACGTGTAAATGTTAAGGCATAAGCTCAAAGCATCACAGGGCAGCTGCTGCACATTAAGGCATTCCTGGCAACATTAGTCATGTGAGTCTCTCTACGAGTTAGCTAAAGATAGGGTTTAATATCTGATTTTTTTTTTTTTAAAAAACTGTTTTTAGCCTGTCGTCTGCTTGGTTGCTTCCTAACCTCCACACACACGTACCCCAGCTGTAACATCATAAATACAATTCTGATTTTCTCTCTTTTAAAGGACACTTAAACAGGTTGTGAGAAATTTACAGTACATTTAAGTGGAAGTGCAAAAAACAAAAAAACTTATCAACTACTCTCTTTTGTATGGTCCCAGGTGTCCATGTCTAGATTCTGTAAGGCTTATGCAATGGGAACACCCCATAGTATTCCATGCGGCAATGCCGAAGGGCGAAAACCAGCTCTTTTGCCTTATATAATAATAATAATAATAATAATAATAATAATAATTTATTATTTATACCCCACCCATCTGGCTGAGTTTCCCCAGCCACTCTGGGTGGCTCTCAATCAAGTGTTAAAAACAGTACAGCGTTACATATTAAAAACTTCCCTGAACAGGGCTGCCTTAAGATGTCTTCTGAATGTCAGGTAGTTGTTTATCTCTTTGACATCTGAAGGGAGAGCGTTCCACAGGGCAGGCGCCACCACCGAGAAGGCCCTCTGTCTGGTTCCCTGTAGCCTCACTTCTCACACTGTGGGAACCACCAGAAGGCCCTCGGCGCTGGATCTCAGTGTCCAGGCTGAACGATGGGGGTGGAGACGCTCCTTCACAACCTACCTTGAGGTATTCAGTTACGTGGTCTGCGTCCATGCCAAGTGTGACCCCATGCAGCTTTGTCTAGAACAAATCTGAAAATCTGACATGCTTCCTTGCAGCAGCCTTCACCAAGTCTGGAGCCCCGCTCCAGCCCTTTTGGACTACAACTCTCAGAAGTCTCAGGGTTACACTGTTGTGTTTTGGGGGGGGGGCTGATGGGAGATGTAGTCCAAAACACCTGGGGGAGACCTGAAGCAATGGATCCAAATGTCAAAGGAGATTCAGACTTAATGAGAGTTAGAGCTCTTTTTTAAAAAAATAATCATCATCATTTTTTCAATACAAATAACAACTGCAAAAAACACATACAGCAAAAACCATAATAACACAATTTGACAATTCAGATTTGAATACACTGATATACCTATGACTACACCTTTTTAAACAATATTTTCCCACCTCTCTCTCCTCCCCCTGCTTCCCACCACTATCCACCTTATTGCTTAAATATTCGTTCCAGATTTCTTCATATTTATCCATTCTTACTTTGCGTCGACATGCAATTCGTTCGTATGTAGCTAATCTGTCCGTATTATCAATCCATGTGCTCAACGGAATCTTTTTGCGGCTCTTCCAATTCATCGAAACAAGTTGTTTGGTTTTTTTTGCTTCTAATATAGCACGGTACATCCATTTTTTCTGACCCCTTGAAATCTCCCACGTTTCCGGAATATAATTTAGAATTAAATTAAATTCCCCTAAATAACAATTTATTTTTATTACTCTTGCTATACATATCCTCACCTCACACCAAAATGATCTTATCATGGGGCAGTTAGAGCTCTTTGACAACCTCGGAAGGTGGTCGACTCCTTCCACTGAAGGTTTCTAAGCAGATGTTGAGTGGCAACCTGCCAGGGTTCCTTAGCTGTAAATCCTGCCTTGCGCAGCATTGGAGTAGATGGCCCCTTAGGTCCCTTCCAACTCTACTGTTCTATGATTCAGTAAAAACCCATTCTGATTCTTTTTGTTTTGCTTTGTTCTGCTGAGAACCGCCTTGCGGGAAATCCCCAGGATAATTGTGATCTGATAAAAAGCAGCCATTCAGGAGATGCAGACCTGGTCCACTCCTATTGAATAACAGGATCGTGGAAATGAAAATTTGGAAGGGACCCCAGGGTCATCTAGTCCAACCCCCTGCAATGCAGGTATCTCAGGTAGATCACACATGACAGGTGGCCTTCCCACCTTTGCTTAAAAACCTTCAAGGAAGGAGGGTCCACCACCGGTCGTGAGAGTCAGACAGGAAAAACCGCAACGGATTCCACAAACACCCCTGCCTCAAAAAAAGCCATTTGATTGAGAGCCTCAAGAATTGGGGTTATAAAAAATACCATTCTGTGTCAATCCCTGATTGGCGAGGATCATCTATGCGCTGCTATTCTAGGAAAGAAAGGAGGAGCTGTAATTGGGAGAGGCAGAGAAGATGTTGGCATAAATAGCAATGGAAAAGGTGTGTATTGCCACAATGTAAGGGAATCAGGGAGATATACATGCCCCCCATCCACCCCAGGAACAGCGCGGCTGCTCAACCTGAAAATTGGAGATCGTTCTTCACAGACCTTTTTCCTCAACCATCTCCAATCACAGGGCAAAGACCTGGTGTGGCAGCGGCAGTTTTCTCTGCAAACTTTTGCCCCTTCCTCCCTTCATCTGTATCCGCCACGTCAGCCCAGGGTCTTCTCAGGTGTTTGCAACAAATTTGAATTCTGCTCCACGGCAATTATCTTGTCTGCGGAGAGGGGAGGAGAGAAGAAAGGAAGGAAAAAACCTGCACGCTTCTTCTTGTGTTATTTTTAGAAGAGGCGAACTGAAAACAGTAGCGAGGGCCCAGGCGTTGGAAGAAAACGGCAGCTTCGATTTTTCTCTGGCAGAAGATAAGTAATCAGAGGAGGAGGAGACATTGCAGAGCTGGAAAGGGGGAAGGAAGGGGCACCAGGAGATGGGAGAAAAGGGCAAAACTCTGGGTGGTTTTAGGTTAGCTGTGATTCCAGCATTGCAGGCTGTTAGACTAGATGACTATTGCATAGCTGTCGACTTAGATTTGAAAATAAGGGACCAGAAGCCTCAAAAATAAGGGATCAGCAGCCAATATAAGGGATCAACAATTACTTTGATAAAATACATATTTTGTTGCGTGCAAATGCCTTTAGATACCTATTAGGTCCATAAATTACCATATAGCATATATTCAACACACAAAAACAGCAACAATTTGTTGTTGACAAAGCACAGCTGGACATAGAAAGGGCCCCATTACCTTCAGTAGCTTATTTAAGGGACAACATCAATAAGGGACAGCAGCGGGACATGGCGCTGGGATAAGGGACTGTCCCGCCAAATAAGGGACGCTTGACAGCTATGGACTATTGGTGTCCCAACTCTATTGAGGAAGGAACCAATTAAGGGGTTGCGGAATAGGATACCCAGGAGACTCCTTTCAGGATCTTGCCCCTGAAAATGGGCAGGCTGAAGACGAGAAAACCAATAGCAACCTCCCCACCCAGACGGGGAGGCAGAAACTGGTCATTGTTTCCTGCGGCACAGGACCAACTTTTCCAGCATCACCCGGTTCCCTTATAGAGGAGGGTTCTGGGCAGTGGAAACCTGTCGGCCAATCCCTCCTCGAGAAGTACCGTGCTTCAGTTCTACAAGCATTGAATATGACCGCAGAGCTCAAAGGGGTCTTATTCTCTGTGGAAAAGGGGCTGGCTGGCCTTGCCTGGCTGCTCCACAGCACCCCCTCTGGCAGTGGTGGCAAGGGGAACTGCAGCGAGTCAGCCTAGAAGGAATCAGATGACATGTCAAGCCACTACAGGCCCTCCTGGCTTTATATAGGAACGGGTTTGGGTTTGGGTTTGGGTTTGTTTTGTTTTGTTGGGGTTTGTGTTTGTGTTTTACAGTGGTACCTCGGGTTACATACACTTCAGGTTACAGACTCCGCTAACACAGAAATAGTGCTTCAGGTTAAGAACTTTGCTTCAGGATGAGAACAGAAATCGTGCTCCGGCAGCGCGGCAGCAGCAGGAGGCCCCATTAGCTAAAGTGGTGCTTCAGGTTAAGAACAGTTTCAGGTTAAGTACGGACCTCTGGAACGAATTAAGTACTTAACCCGAGGTACCACTTTTTTATTTTTATTTTATTTTATTTTATTTTATTTTATTTTATTTTATTTTATTTTATTTTATTGCACTGCACTGCACTGTTATCCCACCTCTCTTCCAAGCAGTTCAAAGTAGCATACATGGTTGTCTTCCTCCCCATTTTATCCCCTGTGAGGAAGGCTAGGCTAAGAGACTACAACTGGTGCCCAAAGTCACCCAGTGAACTTGATAGCCTACCAGGGTTTTGAACCTTGGTCTCCTGGTGCCATGTTTTAACCACTATACAATACTGCCTCTCATTCTGCCTAAGGGCAGCTCCTCAGTCACAGCGGGTTGTCTTTGCGAGAAGGTGCCATGCCACAGAGATCACCATCCAGACGGAGTCCCACTCTGTTCTGCGCACTGCCTGGAGCTAGACTGTTGCGGAAACCACCTTTGGAAGGCTTTCCAACTTGAGCTCAGTTGGTAGAGCATGAGACTCTTCCACTCAGGGCTGTTGGATCGTGCCCCACATTGGGCATTTCAGGGTGTTGGACTAGATCAGGGGTTGGCAAGGTTTACCGGCCATGGGCCAGATCACTGCCACAGAGATTGTCCTTGGGCCGGACTAGCGCAGCGTGACACGTCTGCGCAGACGCCGAAAATTGGGCCTGCGCAGAAGCGATTTCTGGTATCTGCACGTGTGCAGACGCAATTTCCGGTATCTGCGTGTGTGCAGACGCAATTTCCGGTATCTGCGCGTGTGCAGACGCAATTTCCGGCGCCGCTTGGAAAGTCCCCATGCTTTCAAACTGCTAGGTTGGCAGGACCTGGGACAGAGCAACGGGAGCTCACCCCGTCGCTGGGATTCGAACCGCTGACCTTCTGATCAGCAAGCCCAAGAGGCTCAGTGGTTTAGACCACAGCGCCACCCACGTCCCACTGCCTCTGAGCACCCCTCCCCAAGTAATTCCACTGCCCTCCATAGATCTGCACCACTGTAAGCTTTTTGCAGGAAGGCCATGATGGATGGAAGGGATGCGGGTGGCACTGTGGGTTAAACCACAGAGCCTAGGACTTGCCAATCAGAAGGTCGGCGGTTCGAATCCCCGCGACGGGGTGAGCTCCCGTTGCTCAGTCCCTGCTCCTGCCAACCTAGCAGTTTGAAAGCACGTCAAAGTACAAGTAGATAACTAGGTACCACTCCGGCGGGAAGGTAAATGGCGTTTCCATGCGCTGCTCTGGTTCGCCAGAAGCGGCTTAGTCATGCTGGCCACATGACCCAGAAGCAGCGCACCTGCTCCCTCGGCCAGTAAATCGAGATGAGCGCTGCAACCCCAGAGTCAGTCACGACTGGACCTAATGGTCAGGGGTCCCTTTACGTTTACCTTTATGATGGATGGATGGATGGATGGATGGATGGATGGATGGATGGGATACAGCTAAGGCAGAGATCTTTCCATTTCCTCAGTTCTTGATGAAAGCTTTTATACAGTCCTCTATAGTTTCCACGTCCCAGTTGCCTTATGTCTGCAGTGAGGTTAATACGTCGTACTTAAATCCTCCTAGCGCTATGGCAAATCAACCAGCAACCGGTCTCTTGTAGTGCCCTCTAAATTGATAGGAAGGAGCACGGATATAGAATAGGTGATTTGCAATCCTGCTACCCTGTGATACCTTTCTAACTGTGGCTTAAGTGGCTGGGGGGCTGTTTTGGGATCCTGCAAAAATAAGAGGGTGTCCCTCGAAAGCGTATTCACTTTGTGTACCCCAACCTGCACGGCAACGGTTATTGTATTTGGTTTTTAAAAAAGATTTGGGGTGCTGCGACCAGAGTTCAGAGATGTGCATCTTTCCGGAGTGGTACCCAGATGTTGCCATTTCTTCCCTGGAGATGCTAATCTGGCGCACACGCTGAATGATTTTCATTTGCCGGGTTAGAACTGTTTTGTTTTCCCAGACGTCAAATGGTGCAATAATCTCAGCGAGCTTCCTTGTTCCCCGCTGCTTCCAATTCTGTTTTATCAGCTATTTTTATTGACTATATTTTGTGGTGTGTTGTTGTTTTTTCTTGTGTGAGGGTGTGATCTTTTTTTTCTTTTAAAAAAGAAGAAGACATTGTCGTTCTCCTTTATTTCGATGATAAGCTGCTTTTATAAAAAAAAGAGGATGAAAAGGGGAGATTAAAAGTGTGTGTGTGTGTGTGTGTGTGTGTGTGTGTGTGTGGCTTAAGTGAGCTGCCTGGTTGTTCATGAAATGACGAAAATGAAAGCTTGCTCTATTGCCTTCCTCGTAAAATGTCTGTGTTCAAACCAGAGTACAGATTATGTCCCTCTCTGCAGGACAAATGGACCAGCTCCAGTTTCGCAGATAACACACACAAGCTCAGAAGGGGACTTTATAAAAGCACCTGCAGTCACCCTTTGGAGCAAACCTCTTTTTAGTTTAAAATTTATAAATATATACAGTCAAATTCCGCATTTGCCTTTTCCAAAGTATCACACCCCCACCTCCACCCCTTCCTTTCTCTTGTCTTTTCCTCCCCTTTGTATTGTGGCTTGCCAACCTTTTTTTGCAGACTGGGGGAGTTGTTGAGGGTGCCACACACACAATTGGATCATTTATTGTTGTGGGGGGACCCCGAGGGACCCCCAAATATGTTTTGTGTGAGAAACCTATAAAAAAACCCCCAACTGAATGAGATATTGGAGTTCTGTTAATATCCTTGGTTCATAATAGTTTCCTTTTGTTCATTAAAGGCACATAGCCCAGTTGCTGCTCCGTTGTTGGAAATACAGTCATATCTCAGGTTACAGACACTTCAGGTTGCATTTTTCCAGGCTACGGACCACCGAAACCCGGAAGTACCGGAACAGGTTACTTCCGGGTTTCAGTGGTCGCGCATGTGCAGAAGCACCGAATCGCAACCTGCGCATGTGCAGACGCGGGATGCGAACGCTGCGGGTTGCGAACATGCATCCCGCACGGATCACGTCCGCAACCCGAGCGTCCACTGTACCAAATCTCAGGCTACAATTCTCCTTTCTTTAATATGTAGGCTTGCATCTATGTAGGCTTCAAAACCTTAGAAGCGAGGAGCCCTAGAAGGGCTGGACACACGTCAAGTTGCAGAAAGCCATATCCAATGCGTATTCTGCCAGCTACCCTCTGCAAATGTCTGCAGCGCTCTGATTGGATTTTATATTAATTCTTTGTCTGTAAACCCTATAAAAGGTCCAAGGCGGTAACACACGCAGTGGTGGAGAGCAGGTGGGGGCCTGGTTGGCGTGTATCCTGGGGGTGTGGCGCACGTCCGGGGGGGCATGGTGTGCCACCTGTGGGGGCGTGGTGCCCAGCGCGGGGAGGGGGCAGCCGTGATGGCACCCCACTGGGATCGTGGTGCAGGGAGCGATGCGCTCCCCTGCCTCCCTCTTCCTCCGCCAGCAAACACAGACCCATTCAGCCTTTGTGGAAGTGAGCCTATTTACTGAACCTATTTAATAATAATAATAATAAATTTGTATTTATACCCCGCCCTTCCCGGTTCAGAAAACCGGGCTCAGGGTGGCTAACAACAAATTTAAAACACTTTATTGATGCAACAAAAAACCAGCGTAAAATACAGTATAACGTACTTTAAAACACATGGTGATTTTTGAAAATGAAAATGCCAATAAATATTATGATATAGACTAGATGACCATTGGGGTCCCTTCCAATTCAACAATTCCATGACCCCTGACCCCTGACCAATATGCAGTTGAAGAAGAGCTATGGTGTGGGGTTCTTCGAGCAGATTAGACTCAGAGCAGATTAGTAGCAGCCTCAACAAAACAATGCACCGCGAATGCATTCAGCCAGGCAGCCAAGCCCTCTACCCGGATATTCCATTTCATTTGCCCCTTCCCCTGCAGCGCTCAGAGGGCATTTTCTGCCCGCTGAGCATGCTCAGTCCTTACTGCACTGTTTTGGGGAGGTTTCATCCATCCTGACGTCTTCCCCTACTGAAGGTTTTGTGTGCTTCTGCACACCTTGCCGTGTGTGCGCGAGAAACAGAGGGAATTGTTTGTTTGATTAGGCTAGACCGTACTTTAATTTCCATGCCTGTCTTCCTGCCGCTCAGTTTACTCGGAAGATTTCAGCGGAGGGCTTCGTTGAGAAATGCACAATCACTGTTTCTCATGCGCGGGTGGGAAAACAATGCTTTCTTTGTCTGTAGGAATCCCTTGGCTCAGTCCCAGCACTTCTAAGAGGATTTTGGATGTGGTTGCATATATTATTCCTTTTGCATAGGTGAAACTGGGAAATGCAGAGTCCGTGCCTTGCACCTGTCAGATAGGACTGAGGAGTACCACTGCCAGTCAGTAAAGCAATAGTAAACTAGATGGACAAGTGGTCTAATTCAGTATAAGGCAGCTCCCTATTTAAAACCAGCCATTTCTTCAGAACAATGAGGACTGGTACCTTACTTGATTTTTAAGGGATTAGATTAGAATGATTAGAATGGAGAATCAAATTTCTGGAATTCGTGGAGATGGCAAAATTAACAGCATCAATTAGAGGCTACTCTAATCAAAAAAATAATAAAGAGTGGGAACGCGTTTAAAAAGTTGGTGCTGGAGCTTAAAAATTAATATGCAAAAGTTTAAAAGGCACAAGGAGATAGGATAATAACATATTAAAGGACGGAATAACAAATAAAGTGAATAACGCAACAATAACAAAAAATAATAACTGGGCTGTGGGGGAGGGAGGTGAAGGGAATAATTGAAACTGTTAAAGATTGGTATAGGATTTAAGAGATTTAAATTTTCATAAAGAAGAAGAAGAAGAAGAAGAGTTTGGATTTGATATCCCGCCTTTCACTCCCCTTCAGGAGTCTCAAAGCGGCTAAAAATCTCCTTTCCCTTCCTCCCCCACAACAAACACTCTGTGAGGTGAGTGGGGCTGAGAGACTTCAAAGAAGTGTGACTTGCCCAAGGTCACCCAGCAGCTGCAGGTGGAGGAGCAGAGACGCGAACCCGGTTCCCCAGATTACGAGTCCACTGCTCTTAACCACTACACCACACTGGCTCTAAGCATAAAGCATAAGCATAAAGCTCTAAAGCGTAAGCAGCGGTGGGAAGGCAGAGACCTTCCGTCCTCTCAACAGCCTCATAGGGGCAAGATCTACCAGGAAGAGTTGCTGCGCTCACTAGGCCTGGCACTACTGAGCAGCTTTGCTTCTTCTAAAACAGAGTTGACTCACGTTGGCGCACTCCTGACACTGGGTCCTGACACATTGATGTCAATACCCATGGAGTTATCAGCGGCTACCAGCCACAAGGGCTCAGCTCTGCCACCACAGTTGGAGGGAGTAATGCTTCTGTGTAGGAATGTTCAGGGATGCAGGAGAGGATATGTTGTTTTATTATAGCCTTTCCAACTTGTGTTAACAAGTTCACAATTTAGCAGAGTAACGTTCCCCTTTTTAAACTTGCAGCGGATGCGTTTGCTCAGGCTCGCCAAAGCCTCTATAATAACTGTTCCGGTATTTCCCCCTTATTCCCTCATAAAAGATAAGACACGACACAGTCTTCTATAAAAGTATAAAAAGAGTTTACTCACATTCTGTTCACAATCGGATCCCAGAAGGCAGACTTAGCTTAGAAAAGTAACATACACCTGGAAACTATCCCATAAAGAGACAGTCTCTCTGAGCATCTTTGGCTAAGCAGACGTTGCTTCTTCAATGCATGTAGTCAAAAAGAGAGAGATGGCTGCCCTGCCCTGTGCTTTTGTCATTACCTGCACAGGTGAGGCCACGCCCACCTCTAGTCACATGCAGAGGAAGTCTGTCCCAGGCTAGAAGGAAACAGGAAGTTGACCTGCTGGCTGGATGTGAGGGCGATCTGGCTGCGACATCTGTCACCCCATTGATCGCCAGGGTTGATTTGGCTGATCTGGCTGGCTAGGCGGGTATCCCCTTCCTCCCTCACCGCTCCATGTGCGTCCCTCCCGAAGCTGCGCGCTCGGTGGAAGAGGACGACCATCCCAGATAGAAGGAGTGTACCGTTCTTCGGTCAAGGGTATACGATAGCTGCGCTCCCCTGCTAGAACCTCCAAACAAGCTCAAGGTCCATTTGTAGGAGAACGTAGGACAAAAAATCCTTCCCGTGTGTAAACATGTTCACTCTAGGAATGTTGTACTTGACTGCTCTTGTGTTTCCCATCCCACATTCTGCACACCAACTGTGAGAAACCACAGGAGGGGAGGGGACACGTGTGTTCAGATCTTGCTTGCTGGTCTCCCACAGGGATCTGGTTGGCCACAATGAGAACGGGATCCTGGGCTCGATGGTCCCCTGGCCGGATCCAGCAGGCTCTTCTTTATGTACTGCAATGCGCTCTATGTGGGGCTACCTTTGAAGGTGACCCGGAAACTACAACTAATCCAGAACACGGCAGCTAGACTGGGGACTGGGAGCAGCCGCCAAGACCACATAACACCGGTCTTGAAAGACCTACATTGGCTTCCAGTACATTTCCAAGCATAATTCAAAGTGTTGGTGTTGACCTTGAAAGCCCTAAATGGCCTTGGTCCAGTATATCTGAAGAAGCATCTCCACCCCCATCGTTTTACCCGCACACTGAGGTCCAGCGCCAAGGGCCTTCTGGCGGTTCCCTCACTGCAAGAAGCCAAGTTACAGGGAACCAGGCAGAGGGTTTTCTCGGTAGTGGCACCTGCCCTGTGGAACGCCCTCCCACCAGATGTCAAAGAGAACAACAACTACCAGACTTTTAGAAGACATCTGAAGGCAGCTCTGTTTAGGGAAGCTTTTAATGTTTGATGTATTGCAGTATTTCAATGTTTTTTTGGAAGCCGCCCAGAGTGGCTGGGGAAGCCCAGCCAGATGGGCGGGGTATAAATAATAAAATAATAATAATAATAATAATAATAATAATAATAATAATAATAATAATATTCTCTCTGCCACAGACACTCCCTTCTCACTAAACACGATTTCTGTTCTCATCCTGAAGCAAAGTTCTTAACCTTTGTCTGCATCCAATGCTTTTTGCATTCGGTGAGCAGCATGTGAACAGCTGGCAGTTCCATTTTTCACTTGATACAAAGTGGACAGAGACGTCCGCTTGGAAACGGTCTGCCTCTTTCCTTGACCAGCCTTGAAGCATTCTATGTCCCAGTCATCCCGCACCCTCCTGGAGGGCGATAAAACTCCCGATCAAACTGTCCAAGTCCTCCTCCCCATTAGAGCCATTGATTGAGAGGTGTGTGGCGCACCCACCCACAAGCGATGTGCACATTGCCTTGTTTCGGCCATTAATTTTACGAGTCAGGCGAAGTCTAGGAATCGGTGGCGCTTAACTCGATCACAGTAAACCTAATTTCCTCTCGATATTCTGTTTTACGACAATCATTGGAGACAGTAAACAAGTCTTCCTTGTCGTTGACTGTGCTGGCCATCCACTGAGAACATGAGAAGAGCTGGCTGGATCAGACCAACGGTCAGCCTAGTCTAGCGTCCTGTTCTCACAGCCATTGACCAGATGCACTAAAGCAAAGCCAGCCTCCTGCCCACCTAGCAGTTCGAAAGCACGCCAGTACAAGTAGATAAATAGGTACCACTCCGGTGGGAAGGTAAACGGCATTTTCGTGCGCTGCTCTGGTTCGCCAGAAGCGGCTTAGTCCTACTGGGCACATGACCTGGAAGCTGTACGCCGGCTCCCTCGGCCAATAAAGCGAGATGAGCGCCGCAACCCCAGAGTCGGCCACAACTGGACCTAACGGTCAGGGGTCCATTTACCTTACCTGAACCTTGGGTTACATACGCTTCAGGTTACAGACTCCACTAACTCAGAAATAGTACCTCGGGTTAAGAACTTTGCTTCAGGATAAGAACAGAAATTGTGCTCCAGCGGCGAAGCGGCAGCAGGAGGCCCCATTAGCTAAAGTGGTGCTTCGGGTTAAGAACAGTTTCAGGTTAAGAATGGACCTCCAGAACGAATTAAGTACTTAACCCTAGGTACCACTGTATATGCACACATACATATATACACACATTTTTATTGATTTTTTAACATATCAGTTCCAACAGTCATACAACATAACTTCTCATCTTATACAATATTTTAGACTTCCGTCAACACCTCTGACGATTTCCCGTTCTTTATCACTTATTCTGCATTTCTTAATTTCTGTATTACATTTAATTGCCCTTAACTAATAATTCTCTTCATAGTCTTTCTTGCAATATTTCAAATAATCCACCTTACAAAACTTTTCACAGTCCTACTAGCGCAATCTGTTCATCACAATTACGGTACTTTTCAAATAGTTCATATATTTCCTCCAGTCTTCTAAGAATCTCTGATCCTCTGATTCTCAGATGTTTAGTCAGAATTTGAAGCCATTGGTTCGAATCCTACCCTCCGGAGAAGGATAAAACAAGCCTGCTCCGTCTTCCATGTGGTGGCCCTTGAGATATTGGAAGATGGCTATCCTATTTCCTCTTAGTCTCCTCTTTTCCAGGCAAAACATCCCCAGCTCCCTCACCTACCCCTTGGCGTCAAGTTCACTCCCAAACTGTTTTAATTTCATCATTCTTGTGATTGACTGCATTCTAAGAACAGTAACTTTTAAGAACTGAGCTTGCGTTCCCCCTCCTCCCTCCTCTCCACTTTTTCCTCATGTGTCATGTCTGTTTTCAGGCATTAAGCATGAAGTATGTTAATAATAATAATAATAATAATAATAATAATAATTTATTATTTATACCCCGCCCATCTGGCTGGGCTTCCCCAGCCACTCTGGGCGGCTTCCAAAAAAATATTAAAATACTGTAATACATCAAACATTAAAAGTTTCCCTAAACAGGGCTGCCTTCAGATGTCTTCTAAAAGTCTGGTAGTTGTTCTCTTTGACATCTGGTGGGAGGGCGTTCCACAGGGCAGGCGCCACCACCGAGAAGGCCCTTGAAGCTGGACCTCAGTGTTCAGGCAGTTAAATACAGTAGTCTGTTAAACATTAAAAGCTTCCCTAAACAGGGCTGCCTTCAGATGTCTTCTAAAAGTCTGTTGTTTATTTCCTTGATATCTGATAGGAGGGTGTTCCACAGGGCGGGTGCCACTACCGAGAAGGCCCTCTGCCTGGTTCCCTGTAACTTGGCTTCTCGCAGTGAGGGAACCGCCAGAAGGCCCTCAGTGTCCGGGTAGAACAATGGGGGTGGAGACGCTCCTTCAGGTATAGTACTGATTTGGGGGAGACACTTTTGGTGACAAGGCAGGCTATAAAATGCTCTCCATAAAATCAAAGGTGGCAAAGCAGACTGAAGGAAAAAAGGGCATTCCTACCATTTAGATTTATTGAGGGACAGGGACACAGGAAATAATACAGCCTCCTTGTGCCCAATTGCTCTCTTCCTCTTATCAATGGAAATGCGACTTCTGAAGGTGGTGTCAACCCTAATGCCTGCTCCGAACCTATTTCAAGACAAGCGGCTGTTTGCAACTCTAGTTATACTCCGAGTAGAACCATTAAAATTAAAATTAAATAATGTTAAAGAGCGAGGGGAGGCAGTCAAGGGTCCCTGTCCCGGCGAAGGGAAGTTTGTGTCCTCTCCCCTTTCCCGACCTTGTGGATTTAAAGGTATGAGCACCTTCCCCCTAAATCCAGCGATAAGCCGTGCTCTAAAGAAAACCATTTTCAGATGTCTTCAAGGGGTTCACAAAAGGTTAATTAACAAGGAATCAATTAATGGCTTCCTTGCCTCTCCCTTTCTCTTTTCATTTAGGGAGAGTCCTCCTTTCAGAGATGAATCAAAAGCTCAATACAAAGAATTGGGCAGGAAGTCTGGGCTTAAGGCCCTCTACTGCCCCCTGTCTGTCACCAGGTAACACCTCACCGTCACTCTGTATATGACCTTGGGAGCAACCAAATGGCCCAGCCAGATTTTTGATGCGAATTAAGGCATGTCTGGTTGGGAACCGGGTGGCGCTGCGGGTTAAACCACAGAGCCTAGGACTTGCCAATCGGAAGGTTGGTGGTTCGAATCCCCGCGACGGGGTGAGCTCCCGTTGCTCGGTCCCTGCTCCTGCCAACCTAGCAGTTCGAAAGCACATCAAAGTGCAAGTAGATAAATAGGTACCACTCCGGCGGGAAGGTAAACAGCATTTCCATGTGCTGCTCTGGTTCTCCAGAAGCGGCTTAGTCATGCTGGCCACATGACCCGGAAGCTGTACACCGGCTCCCTCGGCCAATAAAGCGAGATGAGCACTGCAACCCCAAAGTTGGCCACGACTGGACCTTACGGTCAGGGGTCCCTTTACCTTTACATAAGGCATGTCTACATGCCACAGCTAAACCAGTTTAACCAACACTGCTGTCTCCCAAGGGCCCCTGATCTCTCCGCAAGAGGATTTCCACCGCCCTCACAATCCTAACATTTCCTAGAGGGGTGGGGGGAGCCCTGAAAGCGAATCTGGTTTCAAACCGGTTTCAGAATCTGCTTTAAAACAAAGCGAGATGGCAAGGGTGGGAGGCACAAAAGCATAAGCCCCGAGCCAAGTCGAAAAGCCCTACAGAATATGTGGCAAAATTTTAGGGTTGCTGTAAAATACCATGCCCCCTATATTTTCCACTGACCTGTTTGAAGATAGCAAAATTTCATAGATTTTCAGGCTGATGTGAAAATCTCATTGGCCTTTCTTACCAGTGGTGGTCGCTCCCATCATTGTCGGCCATTTTTCAACCCCTTTGTGTGACTCTTAACCCTCCAGGTGCCATAGGACTGCAACTCCCATCATTCCTGACCACTCCCCATGCTTGCTAGGGCTGGAGGGAACAGGAGTCCGCCAACATCTGGAAGGCCACAGATCACCCCCTGCCATTATCCTAGCATCATGCTATCCCACATTCCTCCAAAGAGTTCAAGGAGGAGTACACGGTTCTCCCCTTGCCTTATTTCTTAATGTTAAATAAAGCAATTATACTTACACTGAAATGGAAAATAACTCTGTGTATGCCTATATTTGTACTGCTAACATGGAAAATTCCACTGAAGCTACGAAGAGCTCTCAGGGTGCCTGGTGGGTCGATGATTAACTGTTAACTGCTCTGCTCTCTCACGTGGTGTTTAACTTTAGGTCACATGACAGGTTATTCAGTTGCAAGTCGCCATCTTGGGGAGTTTGTCTTCTGAGTCTTT